GTGAGCTCATTAATTTTTTGTCTACATTTACCCCACCCTACCCTATTACTTGATTCATTTCGATCAATATTTTGGGTTCAAGAAAAACATTGGTATGTTGCATGTCATAAACATCGTTGCAATCAATGTACACTAATATGCGTCTATTCTATTCCTCATTTTCTACCAACGTCCATGAATTATACTGGATATCATTATCCACTTCCATCAACAGTACCATCAGATCTTGAACAAGATATGTTTTATTCGAGATATATTGAACGGTTATTTTTGAATTTCAATAAATCAATAATTCTTTCGAATTATCGTTTTATTCATGTAAACTCACTTGAGCTTGCTGGTCCTACATTACCATCAATACATTATCTTATATCTATTGTTAATCTTAATCAAATAAAAGAACTTGATATTTCACGTATTGAAAATATATCAATTGGTGAAATTCATTTATTACTTGAACATACTCCTCGTTTAAATCATTTGAAATTTCAAAATTGGATTCCATTATTTAAACCACCTTTACATATTTATTCATTTACGACTAAGCACTGGAGTTTATCGAATGATTTAGATTTATTTTGTCGTATGTTTTCACATGTTAAATCTTTAAAAATAGATATTATATCACTTAAAATGATGATTGAATTAATTAATCGATTGAAATATCTTGAGAATGTTGTTTTTTGGTACAATTTTGAAAAGCATGCTCCTTTTATTTCAATGAATTGGCTACGACGAAATATATGGGGTCTTCGACGAAAGAATTTTACATATAAAGAAGATGATTATTATATGCTTCTATCCATTGGAAACAAACGAAAAACAAACAATAAATACTCAAGTTTTTGAATAAATTTAAAAATAACTTTTTTTTTTGTGTGTAAGAATTGCTTTTGAATAAATGCGAATTCTATTGCACAGAGCATTCTTTTTTTCGACAGGACAAATATTCTAAAACCTAGTCAAATTTTTTTCGACGATCGTACGTATTATGAGAACATCTTTTTTAAATTGACTGCGTTTCTTTTCGTCCAGTGAGTGGATTAAATGAAAAACTCTTTAATACCATGAATACTTATTAGGAATAAAAAATTAAACCAATGTTTACAAAATAATTATGAATCATTTGAAACGTTTTATGGTTGTCTATATACGTATAGATGTATATTCATGTGATTAGAATAAATACATATAGATTTATACCACATGGATAGATTTTTATATTTGAAAATTGTTTCTTTATTTGAATTTGAAACTAAACTTTTGTAGATAAAATGAAAAAAAAATTAATAGATCATCTGTTGCATACTGCTCTAATTTCTTTTACTTTCTATCCAGCTGTTATACATATGTACTTGTTCTGTTGTTTTCTTTTCTATCCAATTGTTCTATTATGTTCTTGTTCGTTTGACCTACTTTTTTTAACTAACGTCTTCTCTGAATAAGAAGAATCATTGTTTTAATTCTTCTTATTGTTCATTATCTAAATTAATTATGAGAAATAGTATTTGTTTTTCATATATTTATTTTTTCTAAGTTTATGATCCACTTTATTGTTATATATTGATTTGTGAAAAAGTTTTTATAATTAAACTTTATAATGATTTTCGAATTAGTGACTTATTTCAGTAGAAAGAAATTATACAACAATCTTGATTATGGTTGAGCTGTTTATAACAGCTTCATTAAAATGATATTCGAGCAGAGAAATTAAAAAAAACACCAAAACAAATGAACAGAAGCGATCCATAAAAAATCCTATATTTTTGTCATTTTTTATCGAAAATCCTATATTTTAGACAAACTTGATCCTCTAAGGATTTCTATATTTTAAGAAAATCGCAATCGGAGGCCAGATTATATAGAACTTTGAAGAATTTAAATTACTCTATTGATTGACGTTTGACATGACTTGCATTAGTATTTTCTTCCTAAAAAAAATAATCAGAATACCTAAAAAAATAGGAAAATAGGTTATTTTATGCCTATATTATAGCAGATTTCTGATAAAAATCTCATATCTTTTTAATAAACTATTGTGTATAATTTTTTACAAACGTTCTATTAGACTGACTTATTTTAGTAATAAAAAAATACTCAAAAAGTGGGCTCAGCACTAATTTCAAAGACGATCTTCTCAATATTAGTTGAACTAAAAAATAGTTTTTGAATAATTTGTTTTTTAATTTACAGTCATAAAAGAAATAATCAAGAATATTCTACAAATAATTATTTGAATAGTACCACAGAGTAACTATATAGTTATTTTTCTTACAGAATAACTCATTTGGTTCATTTTTATTTTATCTTTGGTGGCAGTTGTAAACGCTTGAGATGAAATGAAATATTCAATGTACTTGAACAATGTAATAATAAAATATTCGATAGAACAATAGGTAGGTATATTTATCATGGAGACATTCATTAACATGTGCATCGTTTACGAATAGCTTCACTAGATGAGATGACTCACCAATTTCGTAGTTATAAGCTGTTCGTTTTTTTTGTCTGTATGAGTCATTGTCATATTATTGACATGGGAAAGTTTTTTTCCCTCATCTATTTCCTGTGATATTTTCTTCTCTGATAGCAAAGCTATTTCTCTTGTCATAAATATAATCAGCGCCTACTCTCTCTCTTTCTTTGCCATTGTTGGATATTAGTAATGAAAATAATCCCACTATTTTGAATAATATTGCCTTTTGAATGAAGAAAACATTATTGCATTGCAATAATTTTGGTATAAATACTCAAACAAATTGTAAAGATGTTATTCATTGATTTATTATCATCATTATCATCGATATCGACAACTTTAAACAAGTAATCATAAGTACGTAAAGAAAATGATAATATTCCGTTGTTTTAAATAAGTAGAGTGAAATTTATGCTAGACTCAAGGATTTTTGGACATTTCTTTTGTGGAACTTACATATGTTCTCGAAGAGAATAGTGAATGTAAGTTTTAGATCGAAGTTTTGCGGCTCCTCCCCCTCCCCCCCTAGGCTCCCATTACGGACATATCCCCCTCCTCACCCATTACAGACTTCAGCAACTGCACACAAAAAACTTAAGCCTTACTTAACAAAAGAAAAGGGCTTGAACGGTGATGATATATTTTAACTTGGTCACCTCTTAAAGGTGATGTAATCCTTGTCGATACGTCAAACGTTCGAATTCTTCCAAATAATAAAAATATTATTAATTTCCAGTCTTATTATATAATTATTCCTCTTATTGCAAGACTAATGATTAACTTTAGGATGGGTGTGGGTGTGGGGTGTGAGGGTGTGGGTGTGGGTGTGGGCGTGGGGTGTGGGTGTGGGTGTGGG